TAACAGAATTGGAGGGGACCTTGCAGGTCTTCTAGTCCAACCCCCTGCCCAAGCAGAAGACCTTATATGATTCTGGACAAATGGCTGTCCAAAATCTTCTTAAAAATCTCCAGTGAAGCACTCACAACTTTGGGTGGCAAGCCATTCCACTGAGTAATTATTTTCACTGTCAGGAAATTTCTCTTTAATTCTAAGTTGGATCTATCTTTGATAAGCTTTGATTTGAGGGTGGGGGGAGAAAGAACAATACAATTTAGGTTAAAGGTCTACATTTTGTTTAGAACTTTTAAATCTATATATACTTTAAAAGGGGGGAAGGAGAAATAAACCCTAATGGAAGGATCTGGGGAAAGATTCCTGTTCGCTTCAAACTCTTTTGTTGTTGAATAACAGTTGTGGAGTTTGGGGCAAATGGAGAATAAATTGGAACATCTGCTCCTTAAATGTCTACAAAGAGGCTGAGTTGCACAGATTAATAAATCTTACCTTGTCTCATCTCTGCATCCTAAACATATATATTGTGAAGCAGAAGGACCAGAAATGTCAACCAAAAAAAAATCACTTGAGCATGTATCTTCATGTCAGCTTTCCCCAGCACTCTGAGAGCATACGTTAACCGGTGTCATATCCCACACATGGCCAAATCCTCATGAAATGTTACTGACCTCCTAGGAGAAATTTGCAAAATGTTGGGCAGGTATATCTAAAATTGCATGAGGTCTGGGACATGAGACTAGACAACTGTATCCCTGGAAAGATCGCTGATGCTTCCAATAGGTCAGATAAACAACAAGGCTAAAGTTTATAGCAAGAATAAGGCAATGAAAGTGAAACTAACCATTCGGGGAACTGCACAGGTCCTAGGAAAATTATCAATCATTTGATCCTTCCCACCACACTTTTTTTTTCAGTTCTAAAAGTAAACTTCCTAAGAAGAGAAAAATAAAATTATTTAAGATCAATAATAGGATATCACAGTAGCATCTGACAAGATCAGTGGTGGGTTGCTACTGGCTTGGACGAACTGACAGCAGCGGTGGTGTGAGGCTCCGCCCACCCACCAGTACATCATCAAATACAATCTGTGCATGTGCAGAAGCTTCTGCGCATGCGCAGAAGTGATGCACAAGCAAGCGAATCGGTAGCAAAGGTAAGCAAAACCTGCCACTGGACATGACCTTATTTATACTCCCCCCGCTCAATTAATGGTAGTCCATCCATTTCCAATGAAGAAATAAAAGATTATTTGATGGGGATGCTTGGTTATTGAGTTCATTTTCCCTTAAAAAAATCCTGCTTGTAAAATATAAGAATTTGTTTGTTTCTTTGTTTGGCAAAGTGTGGTTAGATAGACAAGGATTTTGTCTTGGGTGGTTAGACAAGTATGGTGGGGAATATTATTTTAAAAAGAGAGAAAGAGAAAGAGAGAAAGAGAATACAGTGAATGCAATTGTAAGAGTTAAAACCCACCATCTCTAATAGCAAGATGAGTCAAGAACCATACTATTACAGGAAGATGCCAAATGGATGATTGCACAGCATTCCAAAAACAGGATTGGGCAACCTGCGTGCCAAATCAGCCATAAATTCATGTAAGTTAAAGTTGAGTAACACAACTTCTTTAGAATTTCCAGCAGGAATTTTGCTCATCCACCTCCAATGTCAGAGGCTAAATCTGGGACTTTCTGCATGCAAAACTGGTCATCTTCCAGTAATTCATACTCATCACCACAATAGCCAAAGGTTATGAACCACCATTCATTCAATGATTAAGGCGTCAAGCTAGAATCTGGGAGACCTGGAGTTATAGTACCACCTTAGGCACGAAGCCAACTGGGTGACTTTGGGCCAGTCACTTTCTCTCTACCCTAGGAAAAAGGCAAGCTACTTCTGAAAACCTTGCCAAGAAAATTGCAAGGACTGTCCAAGCAGTCTTTCAGAATTGAACATGACTGTACGGAATGAAAAAAAATGATCTATTTCTTTTCCATTTTTCTGTTCTTAATCCAGTGATACCATTTCTCCCATATTGTATAATATTCCAAATCTATTTGTCTTTTCAGTTCAATTGTCAGTTTATCCATTTCTGCAGAATCAAATGTTTTTTTAATTACCAAAGCTTCGGAAGGTATGTTTGTATTTCTCCAGCATTGCGCGAAAGCTATTCTTGCTGCAGTTATTATATGTAAAATGATATATATTATTCTTTTGTTGTATTTCCCTTTAACTATCCCTAGGAAAAATAGTTCTGGGGTATATTCTATCTGAAGTCCTGTTAATTCCTGTAGCCACCTGTGTATTTTCTTCCAGTATTTTTTCATTTCAGGGCACAACCACCATGTATGATAGAAGGTACCTTGTTTTTGACCACATTTAGTATTTATTTCTGTTCATAAATTTACAAAGCCAGGATGGCACACTTTTTCCCCACACTCTCTTGAACCCAAGCAAAACACCTACACGAATAGTAAACATAATCCAGTCTGGATATATAGAGAGAGATTTTCCACATTGTCTTGATTATTATGATGCTAACCATGCATGCTCAATCTTCTCGTTTAAGTAAATAGGACCACCCCCTCTGTTTTTACAGTAGTGTTTCATGGAAACCATGTGTCTGGCTCTGCGTATAAAGAACTACAAAAATGAAACCCCCAAACAAAACAAGAACAGCAACTGTTAAGGCTATCACCTTCTTTTCTGGCAGGGCTGCTGTACCCTTCCCTACGAAAGAGTTGACCAAGCTAGTAAAGATGTGCTCAGCAGCTCCTGGGAAGAAGTCACTCAGATCAAGGTAAAATCTGGAGAAACCTAATGCTCAGGATTCAGAAGCCCACCTAGCTTCATTTCTTGATAACCTTTCCTTCTGAAAATCTTTTTAGTTGGGGACCAACCCTTCATGAACATGGTAATGTCATTAGGAATATTTGTATTTATTTAATAATGTTCCTTTTGTATCATCTTAGAATTTACAACTGGGCAACAATATCTTTTGGATAGATTTTCAGGCTTTGTGTGGCCCTGGAGTTTCAGACTATCCACTTCTGGAATAAAATAAAAGCTGAAGCCATCTTTAGAGAATTGCACAAGAATTGCACAGTTATTGCCTTCCCTGTCTGTACTGTAATCTCTCTCTGTAGAGTCTATAGCAATGTTGGATTTAAACCTGCTTCTCCAATTAAATTTATTCTCTTAAACCCTTACTAACTCTGAAAATAAATCGTCATTACTGGTACTCAGCTGCCATCTAGTGGGTATGAAGGAAAGTTTCAGTCCCTCTTGATTGGGACTAGATAGATAGATAGATAGATAGATAGATAGATAGATAGATAGACAGACGGATGAATATTACAGACACACACTTAAATAAATGATGTAACCAAATGTAGTTGGTATATATATATACCACACACACACACACACACACACACACACACACACACATATATCAGTGCAAATCTGAATACTTTTTAAAGGAGTAATGCCAATGATCTAATCTAATCATATTATCTGCTGACTTAAAACTGACAATATAACAAAATTATTACTATTTATGATTCTAGCAACAAGGGAAATAATTTTCAAGAATCAGGAATCAAATCACAGATTTTCCTTGACTCTCCTGTACATTCAAGTAAGGCAAATAGCAGAAAGCTAGAAATTTACTTTAATGCAATGAGGCTTATAGCTTTACAGGTACAGGGTGCTGTTTATGAGGGAAAAGTGTATTTAATAAACAATAAATGTGCTTAATAAACATTTAAGACTACACAATCTAACTGATTGGTATTTAGTATTACTGAGCTCTGTAACAAGATACGATCAGGGATCTGTACTTGTGGACCATTCGTTAAAATATCTTGTTAATAAAAGTAATATTGTCATGCAAATCAATTTTTAAGGTTTATTAGGCACTTTTCCAGGAAAAAACTCTCATATAGCTCAAGACATTAAGAATTTCTTAATTTCTACATAAAGATATATTCATCCCAGAGACTAATTTGGATGAGAGATTTCTTTTTCCCTCGCACACGTAAAAATATCAAATCCTCTTGCAGAAAAATAAGCACACTTTTAATATTAATTAGCATTTTAAAATCATCTCTTTAGGCCAGCAGTATAGAAATATGGAACTTTCTAACTGGAAAATTTCAACTCACTTGATTATATGCCACAATTTCTAGCTCTCTACATCCAGCCACAGAAAATCCTACTTTCTTACTCTTTTTTTCCTACTTTTTTTGCATATTGGGGAGATTTTAGGGGTCCTAATTATAGATTTCCTCCTTCTCTACTTGAATTCATGGAACTAACCTTTATTTTATTTATTATAATATCTTTATTGGGTAGGAAACACAAATGCACCATCTTACTCTATTTTTCTAAAAGTCATTAAAAATAAAAAATATATAATAAAAAATAATAAATTAAAAGAAAACCAAAAACATATAAACTCAAAGGGCAGAGTCTATGGACCATTTTTCCCCCCTGCCCTTAGCTTTCCATATTTCTATGTTTTTGTTATTTGAAATTCATTTTATTCATATTGCATTTTTTTTCCCCTCACAGGCATGCCTTTTAAGCAAAAATAATAAAAACACCCTGAATTAGGAGCTCAATCCCAGGCTCTGGCCAAATTGTTACTTTTTTCCAAAGTCAAGGTAAAGTTTCCGTTATTATTCATCCTCTACCCAGACAGTAAATAAGTAGCTTTTTTTCCTCAAAAACAAACACACACTTAATCCATCTCGGAAATCCTTTTAACGTTTAGCATCAACAACAACAAAAAAAATCCCCGCCAATTTCTGCTCCTCAATGACGTCACTCACAGAGCCCCGCCTGCATTCCATTATTAAAACGCACCCAGCCGCCCCGCCCCCTATTTTTTTTCCCAATTCTGCACCGCCCATTCGAAGGCATCATCCAATCCCCAGCCTTCTTCTCCTGCCCGGCCCGACTCCTCCCTTTTCGGGTGAGAGCGTTTCAGAGCCCTTTTCCTATTGGACCGAGAGAACAGCCACTCGACCGATCCAAGCATTTGCGTTCGCATTGATGGGCAGGGCGACTAGCCAATGACGTTACTTCCTTAACTCCAAGCAGTCCTTTTGCAGCAACATGTTTTATCTTTCTTTTTATTTCTTTTTTTATCTATTTTTCTTTCCTTCCTTCCATCCTGTCTGCAAAGACGGAAGGCGGTTCCACCCCACCCACCTTTAGCCTACTTTGATGAGGTCAGTATTTAGATTGCTTCTTTTGCGTTAGCTTTCCTTATGATGTGAGCTAGGAACTCTGGGAATTGTAGTTTCCAGTGCACCAGAAGGCTCATTAGATTGATAGAGCCATGTGCGTGTGCGTTGCACGCGGTTTATTTATGTTTGTGTCCTTGTTGGAAGGCTTTGTGATGAACTGCACGATGGGCGGTGTGCATTGAGGCTTTGCAGAACAGCACTTCCTTGATAATCTGAGCCAGCATGGTTAACCCCCTTAAGACGGTTTTCTGCATTCACACGTTCTAGTATATGATGGAGTTCAGTCTGTTGTAGGGATGCAGTCTTTGCTGCTGAAGGTCCCAAAGCTGCTCTATCCTGACTCATGTTCTTGGCTCTTGTAGGAAGTTAGCACTCACCCCTTTCCTAGAAAAATGAAATATTTTAAGAAAATATTAAAAAGGCAGAATATTATGTTTCCCTGGATGAGAAATGAGAAGTATGTTTTAAAGACGAAGCAGCTCCCATCTTCCTGCCCCCGCTCTTTGTCAGTAGGCCAGAGGCAGAAACTCAATCTTTGTCAATGGACCATCATCTGCAACACAATAGGACCCATCTAGCAACAGAAACTAACACAATAGGACCCATCTAGCAACAGAAACTCACCACATGGCACCTGGGAAGATTACATCAGCCAGCAAGGCTAGCTAAGACCCCCACCCACTGGGAGTCTGACAACCAATCAGGATACTCTTCCGGGGCCCCAGAAAGGGCATAAAATCCGGGGACTCACTGCTTCTCGCCCCTTTTCTGTTCAGGAACTCAAACCATGTGATCCTGTCCACCATTAAACCATCTTTCCAAGCAGTCTCCATATTTCCAGGGTCTTTTTCCCACTTGGAGCTGAACCCAGAAGGATATTTCTTCTTACATCCTTCTAACCAAGCCTTATTCCTGGGGCAGGGGTCCGCAACCTTAAACACTCAAAAGAAAAGGTGACCAACTTTTTTACAATGAGAAGGAGGACACGTGCGTGTGTGCCGTGTCATGTTTCGGTAAGAAGTAAACAAAGCCACTTGCGCGCGGCGCACTCTTGCATGCGGCATACTCTCTTGAAACAATTCTCCTGTGCAGAGCGCGTGCGTCTCATGATCGCGTCTCGCCGCACTGTACCGAGCCTTGACAAATCGTCATGTCAAATACAAATACATCACATCGCACGCCACGGATCGGATCGGATCGGCATCGATTGAATATGGAGATTTACAGATTAGTCTTCAAATATCGAAAAGGAGGACATGTAGGAGGGAGAGGACAGAACTTACAAAAGAAGGACTGTCCTCCCTAAAGGAGGATGATTGGTCACCTTATCAAAGAGCCATTTGGACCCGTTTCCCACAGAAAAGAAAACACCGGGAGCTGCAAAACCTGGGTGGGTGTGGCTAACTCAATGTTACTCCCACCCAGTCACATGACACCACCACCCCCAGCCACGCCTACTCAGGTTTTGTGGCTCCGGGTGTTTTCTTTGGGAAATGGGTCTCTCTCTCCCACCCCTCCTCTCATTTCTGTTTTTCTCTCTTTTTCCTCTCCCTTTCTCTCTCTCTCTCTTTCTCTCCTTCCTCTCTCTCATTTGTTTCCCTCTTCCCTCTCTCATTCTCTCCCTCCAGCTCTCTTATTTCTCTCTCCCTCCCCTTCTCTTTCTCATTTGTTTCTCTCTCTCTCTTTCCTCTCGCTCCTCAGCTGTGGGCCTGTTCCCCTTTCCATCGTACCCTCCTCCCAAATCCCATTCCCACCCCGCCAGCCCTCGTGTTAATGAGATTGGCGTCGGCCACGGCTGGATTGAGCCAGTGTCTCGGGGCGGAGAGTAGGTTGCGTGATCAAGTCAGCAGGGAGCCGCAGGAGAGGGGTCAAAGAGCCACATGTGGCTCTGGAGCCGCTGGTTGCTGACACCAGTCCTGGGGCAATACGTGGAACATATTTTCATGCCAAACACACACACACACAATTAACACGGATGTGGTTGGCCCCTGCCTTCCTCAAAATGTGCTTTCATTGTTCCAATCTAGACTACAGCCCTAAACTAAGGTTGTTGGGAGTCAGCAACATATCAGTTTAATACATAATCACAATTTCTTGGCAGACGTTTCAGTGGCCCAACTGGGTAACATCATCAGTGTTAAAAAAGGAAGTCGGGTTTCCTTTATTTTTATATGCATATTATTTATAATAATATTTATTGATATACATGTATTATTTTTATATATGGTTTGCCCTGTCAGTGTTGCTGGGAGGGTTCTTGGTGGTTCCTTCTTTAGGCTGTTGTTTACGATTTGCTTGTTTGTCTGAGTTGGTAAGCTTCTTAACTGGAGTATTGTTTTACTTCTTACACTGTTTTTGTTTTAAATTATTCAGGAACCTGCCCTGCTGCCTGATCCATGCCTGTCCCAGAAGATGGCTCTATTAAAGCTGCTTCCACCGGATCCAGAAGATGAGGGCAGCCAGCGGTGCAGGCTGGGTCCTGCTGCATTCGCCTTGCTAGGCGCTAAGCTGGGCTCTTTGATCAAGATCACCTTGCCCAGTGGCTCTTGCCTGTGCACGGCCTGGCCAAGGCACGATTCAGCTGATGGCTACCTGCAGCTCGACCTCAAATGCAGGACTTGGGGATTAAGAGAAAGCCAGCTGCGGAGGAAGACCGTGAGCATGGACCAGCTGAGAGTAGCGGCCTGCCCCAAGTTAAGACATGTGACGGTCCGAGTCGTCTTTAAAAACCAGGCCTCAAAAACAGCTCTTCCCGAAACGACGCTTCCAGAAGTGGTGCGAGAGCTTTTGAGAAAGACCTGTGTGGCGCGCCATCATGTCGTGACTTTCCCCCCAATTCTGGGCAATCCTGTTGAGTGCCTTGAAATATTGTCCATTGGACTGTTCAGCCCGGAAGAAGCTGGCTTGATCACTCCCCAAACCAACGTCCACATTAAGGAGACAATCACGTTGGAGAGATACGGTCGCCTGATGGGGAACGGTTCGAAAATCCGGGTGGCCGGCTTGGATGAAGTCAGCCAGGCTTTGAAAGAAACGATTGAACTGCCTCTGCGTTTCCCGAACAGCTTCAAAACATTAGGCCTCTCAGTCCCAAAGGGAGTTCTTTTGGTGGGGCCGCCGGGAGTTGGCAAGACGCTACTGGTCAAGGCAGTGACTGGAGAAGTCGAGGCCTGTCTGGTAGGCCTCAGTGGCCCTGTGGTCTATGGTTCGCGGCCTGGTGAAAGCGAGGAGAACTTGCGACGGGTCTTTGAGCAAGCGAGAGAACTCTCCATCGAAGGGCCCACCGTCCTCTTCATTGACGAGATCGATTCGTTGTGTCCCAAGCGGGGAGCTTCCGGTCATGTCCCTGAGCATCGCTTGGTGGCTCAATTGCTAACTCTTATGGATGGATTTAGCCAAGGACACGGGCTGGTCATTGTAGGGGCAACAAACAGGCCAGATTCCCTGGACCCTGCATTGAGGAGACCAGGCAGATTTGATCAGGAGGTAAGTAACTCATAGTTGTGCCTTCCAGTCACAGGGGGAGAGGGAGACAGAGAGAGATACAGAGAGAGGGTGACGGAGAGAGAGAGATGTCAAAAGGGTTTTGTGGTTCCCGGTGTTTTTTAACAACCGGTTCTCTGTCCTAATGACTGACTGGGTAGGTGTGGCTAGGGGGGGTCATGTGACTGGTGAAAGTGAGTGATGTCAAGTTGGCCACGCCCACCCAGGTTTTGTGGCTCCCGGTGTTTTGCTTTCTGCGGGAAACGGGTTCAAATGGCTCTTTCAGTGTTTAAGGTTGCAGACCCCTGACCTGGGCCTTTTGAGATCTGGTTCAAATTAAGCTCTACTTGCCCTGGGTTCAGAGAGCCTTTGTGAGTGTTAACGGTTAACAAAATGCCCATGTTTTCCATCCGTGCTTTAGATTGTCATTGGGAGCCCGACCTTGACGCAAAGGAAGTCTATTCTGCAGCTGATTACCGCTGGCATGCCTGTGTCAGACAACGTTGATTTGCTAGAACTGGCAGAAATAACACCGGGTTTTGTTGGGGCCGACCTCACCTCGCTCTGCAGAGAAGCCGCCATGCAAGCCCTGTTTCGTAACTGCACAGTAAGAAGCTCTTTCGCATTTCTACAGATGTGTTGGATTTCAGTCTCTCTGTCTCAACTCCGGCACACAGCTGGTCTCTTCTATCGGATACTGGAATGGCTGACATTCCCTCGGTTACTTCAGCTGAGGCTCAGAAGGCCAATCCCAAACAGTTTACACCGAGGATGTGTTCGTACATTGCATAAAGGCATTATTTGGTTTTGGTTTAATGGGTGGATCCCATAACCATGGTTTGTAAACCATGTTCTATGGCAGGGGTGCTTAAATCCGGCCCGCAGAGCCAGCCTGGAAATATCAAAGGACCGGCCCGCGGTGCCTCTGCGGGCCAAAACGGCTCACGTGAGGGGAGCCCGTGACCCGTTTTCGGCCTTCCTGGCCTCCTGCAGCGCTCTGCCAGCCAAAAACAGGCCCTGTGGAGGCCTCCGCACGGCCCATTTTTGGCTGGCAGAATGCTGCTGGCGGCCAGGGAGGGCAAAAACAAGGCACAGGGGGGCCGCGTGCTGCCCCACTGTGCCCCGTTTTGGCCGGTAAAGTGCTGCAGGAGCCATCTGTCTCGCTCTCCACCGGCCCGCAGAAGACAAGTACAATGCCGATCCGCCCCTTGAAGAAATCCATTTTGATACCCCTGTTCTATGGTATAGCATACTGTGGAAATGCAGCCTATTTGGACTTTTTCCATACAGTATCCACTCTGGTTTCTTTGCTTTTCAACTCCACCATCCTTCCTTCTCCTTAATATATTGTTGTAAATACAGATAGTCCTTGACGTACAACAGTTCATTCAGTGAGCAAAGTTACAATGGCGCCGAAGAAAGTGACCCATGATCGTTTTTCACACTTGTGACCGTTGCAGCTTCCCCATGGTCGCATGATCAGAATTCAGATGCTTGGCAACCGGTTCCTATTTATGACGGTTGCTGGATCCTGGGCAGGGGTGAAATGTTCCCAGTTCGGACCGGATTGTCCAATCCGGTAGCGATGGCGGCGGGTAGTTCGGAGAACCGGTAGCAAAAATCCCTGCCCCCCCCCCATCCCCTGCTGAGCCGCACGATCATCAGAGGCTTTTTTTTTTTTTCCTTTTAAAAGCATTTTTTCTACAATCTCTTCCGCTGAAAAAATGCTTTGAAAAGTAAAAAAAAAAAGCCTCTGATGATCACGCGGCTCAGCTGGGATCGTCAGAGGCTTTTCAAAGCATTTTTTTCTGCAACCTCTTGGCCGAAGAGGTGGTAAAAAAAAATGCTTTGAAAAGTCTCTGACGATCCTAGCTGAGTTGCCTGATCAGCAGAGAGGCTTTTCAAAGCATTAGAAAAAATGCTTTGAAAAGTTGTTTTTTTTAAAAAAAAAAGTTGGTCACGCCCACCCAGTCACATTACCACCACCACCACCAAGCCACACCCACAGAACCGGTAGTAACAAATTTTACATTTCACCCCTGGTCCCGTGGTCATTTGATCAGTTTTTGGGACCTTCTGACAAGCAAAAGTCAATGGGGGAAACCAATTTCACTTAACATCCGTGTTACTCACTTAACAAATGCAATAACGGCTCACTTAACAGCTGTGCCAAGAAAAGTCGTAACATGGGACAAACTCACTTAACAGTTGCTTCACTTAGCAACATACATTTTGGGCTCAATTGTGGTCGTAACTTGGGGACTACCTGTAACAGAAATTTGCCCAGTGATGTTAGCAAGGCAGTCTCTTATGTTGTCACGAGCTTCCGTTACACCAATGGAATGAAATTTTGTTTTTCTAGAGAAGCAGATGTAATTGTGGGATTTCCCCCAGATGATCAACGAATTCTAGACTAATGGGATCGTCGACAAGTCAGAAGCTTTATTCCGTCGCTCAAAAGGGAATCAATGTTTTCTATTTCTGTTCTCATTTGTTTTCAGGATTCAATTTGCCCGGTTGAGATGTCAGATTTCCTCGAGGCCCTGAAAAAGATCCAGCCATCATCTTTCCGAAGCGGAATTGGGTTAACAGATTTCAAGCCCGTCTCGTGGGATCAGATTGGTGGCCTTGAAGACGTGAAATTAAAATTAAAACAGGTAAGACTTACAGAGCAGAGTCTGAAATGAAGAATATTCTGGTTGGTCTCCAAAGAGGCCAACCAGATTTCCGTACTTATTTAATACATTCGGATAAACCCAACCTGCATTCAAATAGTCTTCAACTTCACCACCACAATTGGGAAAATAATTTCCATGCTAAGCAAGGTGTTTATTGAGTGAGTCACACCTGATTTTACAACCTGCTTGGCCATGGCTACAAAGTGAATCGCTGCAATTAAGTAATTCAAACGCTCGTTAAGTGAATTCATCTTCCCCCATTGATTTTTCTTGTCGGAAGGTCATAGATAATGATCACATGATCAGATGCTGCAACTCTGTTGGTTGCCAAATGCCCAAATTTTGCTCCTGTGACCTTAGGGAAGCTGCAGCAGGTGTTCGGTTGTTAAATCGCTTTATTTTAAAAATAAAAGTTGTTGCTCTTCTCACAAAGCAGACTAAAAATCAGAATGAGAAGACGTTCAACGTATCTTGCTGGGGCACAGAATGTGTGCAAGCCCAGTCCTAAAAAGCTACGGTTTATGATTTATCATATTTATCAAGGGACGCGGTGGCTCAAGGGATAAGACGCTGAGCTTGTCGATCGAAAGGTCGGCAGTTCAGCGGTTCGAATCCCTAGTGCCGCGTAACGGGGTGAGCTCCCGTTACTTGTCCCAGCTTCTGCCAACCTAGCAGTTTGAAAGCACGTAAAAAATGCAAGTAGAAAAATAGGGACCACCTTTGGTGGGAAGGTAACAGCGTTCCATGCGCCTTTAGCGTTTAGTCATGCCGGCCACATGACCACGGAGACATCTTCGGACAGCGCTGGCTCTTCGGCTTTGAAACGGAGATGAGCACTGCCCCCTAGAGTCGGGAACGACTAGCACATATGTGCGAGGGGAACCTTTACCTTTACCTATGATTGATCATGATCTGTGACTCCAGGCAATTGTGGCTTGCTCATAAGACTGGTTGGAAGGTGAATTGCCTTGTAGGATTATTAGTCTGAGAAATTCATGGAAGGTTCTGTTCTTTTCATGATTTGCAGAGCATCGAATGGCCCATAAAATTCCCAGAAGCCTTTATCCGGATGGGGCTGGCCCGCCCAAAGGGCATCCTTCTCTATGGACCGTCTGGTTGTGCCAAAACGATGCTTGTGAAAGCCGCCGCCTCCTGTTCTCATTGCTCCTTTCTGGCTGTGAACGGTGCTGATCTCTTCTCCCCTTTGGTCGGAGAGTCAGAGAAGATTTTGTCTCAGGTGCGAGGTTTTGGTTCCAATGGGGACTGGAAGCACAGGTAGTCCTCGACTTACGACCACAATTGGGCCCAAAATTTCTGTTTCTGTTAAGTGAGATGTTTGAATTAAATGAGTTTTGCCCCCCTTTTGCGACCTTTCTTGCCACAGTCGTTAAGTGAGTCACCGCAGTTGATAAATTAGTAACATGGCTGTTAAGTGAATCTGGCTTCCCCATTGATTTTGCTCGTCAAAAGGTCGCAAAAGGGATCACATGACCTTGGGACACGGCAGTGGTCATAAGTATGTGTCAGTTGTCAAGCACCTGCGTTTTGATCGCCTGATCATGGGGATGCTACTAAGTTCGGAAGTGTGAAAAACAATCATACGTCACTTGTTCAACTGCCGTTGTAACTTTCGATGGTCACTAAATGAACTGTTGTAAGTCGAGAACTACCTGTATGTAGTTTTGTCATTTATTTCACAGCTGATAGAATTCATCATCATCATCTTTTAATGACCCCATAATCCCTTGCAGGGTGGAGTCTGGGCAACTGAATGGAGCTGAGTGTTTACTGGCCGGATGCCCTTCCTGTCACCAGTGCAGAGTTTTGTTCAGCAGATATATTCTCATTGTGCCCAGAGAGAGAAATATCTGCTTCTACCTAGGATCGAACTCCCAGCCTCCTGATTGTGAGGCGAGAGCTCCACCTCTAGGCCATCCGCACCACTCCACTGATATTAATAGGCTTAGCTATTTGGTTCTCTTCTGTTTTTCTTTTTTCCCCTCCAAGGTATTTCGTCAAGCAAGAGCAAATACTCCAGCAATAGTTTTCCTGGATGAAATTGATGCGATCCTGGGATCCCGATCGGGAACTAAAACCGGGTGTGGCGTCCAGGAGAGAGTTCTTTCCGTCCTTCTCAATGAGTTGGATGGCATCGGAGTCAAGTTAACTGAGCGAAGAGGAAATAAAGCAGAGATGGAAAATGAGAGTCAAGAACCAGCTGAAAGTGATAAAGAGGTATATAGATAGACATAATAGCAATAGCACTTAGACTTATATACCGCTTCATAGTGCTTTTACAGCAGTGGTGAAATCTAAAATTTGTTACTACCGGTTCTGTGGGCATGGCTTGGTGGTGGCGGTGGTGTAATATGACTGAGTAGGCGTGGCCAACTGTTGTTTTTTTTTACTTTTAAAACCATTTTTTCTACAACCTCTTCAGCCAAAGAGGTTGTTAAAAAATGCTTTTAAAAGCCTCTGATGATCCCAGCTGACTTGCCTGATTGGCAGAGGCTTTTTTTCTCTTTAAAAACATTTTTTCTATAACCTCTTCGGCTGAAGAGGTTGTAGAAAAAATGCTTTTAAAAGTCTCTGGTGATCCCAGCTGAGCCGTGCAATCATCAGAGCCTTTTTTTTTTTACTTTTAAAAGCATTTTTTCGGCTGAAAAGGTTGTAGAAAAAATGCTTTTAAAAATAAAAGAAAAGCCTCTGATGATTGCGCGGCTCAGATGGGCAATGTGGGGGGGCAGGGATTTTTGCTACTGGTTCTCCGAACCACCTGCCTCCATCGTTACCGGATCAGGCGATCCGGTCCGAACCGGGAGCATTTCACCCCTGGGTGAAATCCTACCAGTTCGTACCAGTTCGGGCAAATCGGTAGTGATAAAAACTACTGGTTCAGTTGAACTGGTAGTTAAAAAAAAGCTACCGGTTCCTCCAAACTGGTATTTCCAATGATCAGCTATGCCGGAGGGTTTAGCTTTGCTAGAAAGCAGGAAATCCTGCTTTCCAGCTAAGCTAAATCGCGTGGCACAGCTGATTCCCCCCTTCACTGTTCTACTTACCTTCCTAAGCCTCCTTTTGGCGCGCACTGCGCACGCTCACACAGCACTCATTTGGTGCACACTGCACATGCGCACACAGCACACGCTTGGTGCACGGCGAGCGAACCAGTAGCAAACTGGTTCAGATTTCACCACTGATCTAAAGCCAAGGAAAAACCGGGATGGTTGAAATAGTTAAATAGCTAACAGTTCCTCATTTCTATCAACTTGCTAGTTAGAACTTCAGGAAGTTTTTAACAAAGATGTCATAGTCGTCGCTGCAACAAATAGACCAGACCGGCTGGATGATGCTTTGTTACGTCCGGGACGCTTAGATAAGATCATCTATGTCCCACCGCCAGATGAGCAGGTATGGCGTAAAACTGTAGATGATTTTTGAAATCAAAAAGTTCATTATGTCTAAATATTCTGTTTTGGGTGAGACATGATATATTGGAGCAGTGCTGCTCATTTCAGACATCCAGTATTTGAGGGGCTGCCAAAAAGAAGAGGGGGTCAAATTATTCTCCAACGCACCAGAGGGCAGGATAAGAAACAGTGGTTGGAAACTAATGCAAGAGAGAAGCAACCTGGAATTAAGGAGAAACTTCCTAACAGTGAGGACAATTAACCAATGGAGTAGCTTGCCTCCAGAAATCGTTGGGCACACCATCACTGGAGGTTTTTAAGAAGAGACTAGACAGTCACTTATCTAAAATGGTATAGGTTCTCCTGCTTGAGCAGGAGGCTGGACTAGACGACCTCCAAGGTCCCTTCATGCTCTCTTCTGAATATATACATCTTTCCTTTGAAAGATATTGGCTGGGCTTGTACATCATCCTAAACTGTGATTTATTTAACTTTACTTATTGAAGTCAATAGCAATAGCCCTTAGACTTATATGCCGCTTTACAGTGCTTTCCAACCCTCTCTAAGCGGTTTACAGAGTCAGCCTATTACCCCCAACAATCTGGGTCCTCATTTTACCCACCTCAGAAGGATGGAAGGCTGAGTCAACCTTGAGCCTGATGTGATTTGAACTGCCAAATGTCAGGCAGTCAGCAGAAGTAGCCTGCAGTACTGCACTCTAACCACTGCGCCACTGTGGCTCAATACTGGCGAAAGGTAAAGGTTCCCCTCGCACATATGTGCTAGTCGTTCCCGACTCTAGGGGGCAGTGCTCATCTCCGTTTCAAAGCTGAAGAGCCAGCGCTGTCCGAAGACGTCTCCGTGGTCATGTGGCCAGTATTACTAAACGCCAAAGGTGCACGGAACGCTGTTACCTTCCTGCTAGGTTGGCAGGAGCTGGGACAAGTAACAGGAGCTCACCCTGTTACGTGGCCCTAGGGATTCAAACCGCTGAACTGCCGACCTTTCGATTGACAAGCTCAGCATCTTGGCCACTGAGCCACCACGTCCCTTCAATACTGGCTAGATTGACATAGTAGGATGTGATAAACACTACTTTATAGAATATAGTGACTAAAGCCACATAACACACTAAGCCACAACAAAACAAATCCTTCGGGCATACTGAGAAGTGTGACCCTCTCATCCTTTCAACAGACCATCATTAAGAAAAACAATAGTTTTGTGCAGTGTCATCGACGTCTAATCCATACAACCATATGTTTGACCGACACTGCACGCGTTGCAGTTTTTTAAAACTCATTTGGAGGAGGGTGTCTTTGCTTTTAAGAGTGTGTAGATCATAGCCTCTAAAGCCAGTCAAATAACTCTCTGCCTCTTTCGTGGTGTTTTAAAATAGGGAAGGCTTTCGGTTCTGAAAATCTGCACAGAAATAATTCCGATAGATTCTGAGGTCTCCTTAGCAGATATAGCAAGTCAAACCAATATGTTCTCTGGAGCTGATCTTGAGAATCTCTGTAAAGAGGTAAGTCATTTTTAATTTGTAATGCCTCAGTGACAGGATTTAAAGGAAGTGGGGGGCAGACTAGTAAACAATTGTGTGTGTGTGTGTGTGTGTGTGTGTGTGTGTGTGTGTGGCCTAGAAGCCATCTTTTGCATTGGGCCTTCAGGCCTGCCATGTTTACTACTGTGGGAAATTGGGAGGGGGGATTGTATGGAGCAGGGGTGATATGTAGTCATAATAACATTCCTTTCTCAGAGAGTCAAGGACATCTTGCCCTGCACCTGGAGGGGCGTGGCTAGAAGGCATCTCCAGTTGGGATGGTGCATTGATTGGACCATGTGATGGACATGTGGGTGCTGGGCAGGGACTTGGACTTTCCTTTGAATGGGGAAAACCTGAAAGTTTTCAGATTCGGGTTTTCCCAGATGTGCCAATATGACATCTCTAATAAAATGGAACTTTGTTACTTGGAATCCTGACAGTGTGTGTGTACAGGTAGTCCTCGACTTAACAGCAGTTCATTTAGTGACCGTTAAAAGTTACAACGGCATTGAAAAAAGGTGGCTTATGATCGTTTTACAACCGTCGTAGAATCGCTGAGGTCATGTGACCAAAATTCGGACACTTGGCAACTGACTCATATTTATGACGGTTGCAGTGTCCCAGGGTCATGTGATCCCCTTTTGCGACCTTCTGACAAGCAAAGACAACAGGGAAGCCAGATTCGCTTAACAACTGTACCACAAACATCTGCAGTGATTCATTTAACAACGGGGGGGGGCAAGAAAGGTCGTAAAATGGAGCAAAAAATCACTTAACAAATGTCTCGCTTAACCACAGAAATGTTGGGGGTCGATTGTGGTCATAAGTTGAGAACGACCTATATATGTATATACGTTTATGAGGATGATTTTTATTTCATTTATAATGAGTGTTTTTCCTATTTTATTTTTTATTTTATTTTATTTACTTTTAGGCTGCTTTGCTAGCATTGCAAGAAAACAAAGTGGAAGCCACAGCTGTGAAATATAAACATTTTGAAAAATCCCTGGAGACTGTAAAGCCATCGGTAACTCACAAAGAATTGCAATTTTATGAAAAATTGTTTAGAATTCAATAATATAATCGGCAAAGCGAGTACATACCAACATATACAAATATTTTCACCTTCAACAATAAATTGAAAGATCTGTAAAAAAAGGGGGATGGAATAATGAGAGTAGCGTAAATGGCAGGATGCATTTATTTAACGTATTTTATTCAGCTTTCCAGAATTGTTCAATGTATGCACCACTGCAGCTCAAACAAAATAAACCATATTCTTGTTTAGTGTGATGGATAAGTCCCGTCATAGAAAGAGTGCAGAGAAGAGCAATCCGGATGATTAGGGGACTGGAGGCTAAAACATATGAAGAACGGTTGCAGGAACTGAGCATGGCTAGTCTAGTGAAAAGAAGGACCAGGGGAGACATGATAGCAGTCTTCCAATATTTGAGGGGCTGCCACAGAGAGGAGGGGGTCAACCTCTTTTCCAAAGCACCTGAAGGCCAGACAAGGAATAATGGATGGAAACTGAACAAGGAGAGATTCAACCTGGAAATAAGGAGAAATTTTCTGACAATAAGAACAATCAACTGATGGAACAGAAGTTGCCTTTGGACGTTGTGGGAGCTTCATCACTGGAAGCTTTCAAGAAGAGTCTGGACTGCCATCTGTCAGAAATGGTGTAGGGTCTGCTTGGGCGGGGGGTTGGACTAGATGACCTACAAGATCCCTGCCAACTCTGTTAATCTGTATCTAATCTGTAAATTCAAGAAACTGACTTTATTTCAGTATTTTTGTAACTTCATATGACTGAGTTCTGTGATTCAATAAAAGAAGTTACTCAATGAAAGGCCTTGTCATAATCTTTTTGGGGGATTCTTGGCTCGTTCATCAATTTTGCTATTCAGATGCAATTTATTAGCCAGGCAAAATGCCTTGTTTGTAGTCGACTGTTACTGTGAAATGTGGAAGGAAAGTGAAGAAGAGGATGACCAGCAAGAAGGTTGGGGAGATTCCGTTTCCATGGCGATCGAAGTTTGGGACCGATCATCATGGAGAAAACTAATACAGTCACTAAGAAACCAGCAACAACTTAATAGTACACAGTTATAATAAGGTAAAGGTAAAGGTTCCCCTCGCACATATGTGCTAGTTGTTCCCGACTCTAGGGGGCGGTGCTCATCTCTGTTTCAAAGCCGTAGAGCCAGCGCTCTCCGAAGACGTCTCCGTGGTCATGTGACCAGCATGACTAAACATCAAAGGCGCACGGAACGCTGTTCCCTTCCCACCAAAGGTGGTCCCTATTTTTCTACTTGCATTTTTTACGTGCTTTCGAACTGCTAGGTTGGCAGAAGCTGGGACAAGTAATGGGAGCTCACCCCATCACGCGGCACTAGAGATTCGAACCGCTGAACTGCTGACCTTTTGACCGACAAGCTCAGCATCTTAGCCACTGAACCACCACGTCCCTCACATTATAATAGCATGAACAAAAAAATGGAGTTTTGAGAAAAGGTGGTGAATCTCAGAAAGGATTCACAGCCATTGAATTTCAGTTCTTTGTTGCTGTCACCTACTTACTATGATGTGCTAGGGCTAATTTAAAAATAAAACTCCCCCATTGAGTAGGCCCTGTATTCTCAAGCCAGACTTTGAGGACACTGCGATGGATGGATGGATGGATGGATGGATGGATGGATGGATGGATGGAAGGCTGGAAGGAAGGAAGGGAGAACCAACTGCTTCTAACTGACATTTTCCTTTGTGCTCAGACTGCGGCCTTCTTCCTGTCATATTCTAGGACTTGACGAGGGAAGAAGAGGCATCCCTTCACTAGAAACTAACAAGACAAGGGAGAGGTCACCCCTCTTGTCCTCCATCTCACAGGCAACACCAAGAAAGGCCTGAACAGTAACGGAAACAGGGTGAGAAGGGGGCTTGGCCAGCTGGGTGGGCAACAAAATGGAGCCAAGTGGGCCAAGGAAGCAGTGTGATCCACCAGGTTCACACTGGCCGGGCAAAGGAAAGCACCTGGTGAAAGAAAGGAAAGGAGGAAAGAATAGAATAGAATAATAACAGAGTTGGAAGGGACCTTGTAGATCATATAGTCCAACCCCTCCCAATTTCCCACAGTAGAATTTGTGGCAGGCCTGAAGGCTCAAAAGTAAAAGATGGCTTCCAGGTCTGACAACTCGCTGCTCAGGCAGGAGACCTTGTACCATTTCTGACAAGGGGCTGTCAAGGGAAGGGAAGGGAAGGGAAGGGGAAAGGAAGGAAAAGAAAAAGGGAAGAGAAGGGAAGGAAAGGGAAAGGAAAGGAAAGAAGGAAGGGAAAGGAAAAAGAGAAAGGGAAGGGAAGGGAAGAAGGAAGGGAAAGGGAAGGGAAGGGAAGGAGAAAGGAAGGAAAGGAAAAAGGGAAGATATGGGAAGGGAAGAAAAGGGAAAGGAAAGAAAGGGAAAGGAAAAGGGGAAAGGGAAGGAGAAAGGAAAGGAAAAAGGAAAGGAAAGGAAAGGAAAGGAAAGGAAAGGTTTAAACTTAGCATGTACTATGAATGCAGCCACCAGGTTTCAGGTGACCTAGAGAAGGGTGTTGTGTGAACAGAATGTGGAAATGCAATTGAAACAGGATGAACCCAAATGTGGGGCAGGGTGAGAGGTGCATTTCTTTCACTTGTTCCAGGCCTTGCGGGCTTCCCTTTGCAACCAGGCAACAGGTGAGAGAGGGGACCTCCTCCCTGCCTTGCGGTATCGATTTTCCTGGTCCACAACTGAGGGGTCTCCAGTGGAGAGGGGGGCCTCCTTGCAATGCTCCATATTGCAGCCCAGAGACCCACAGGCCCTGCCTAGGATGCAGCTTAGCTTTGTTGCGGCCTTGCAAATGCTTTGCATTTTGCTGTTTGCCAAGTGCTGGAAAGGGATAGGTTATGTTTCATGCAATAAACCACCGTTCAGCCAACTGTGGTTTGAGCACCTTGGGCAAACCTCATTTTCTCCGCTGCCAGAGGCTGGGTCCAAAATGGTGCCCTATGATTGCATTTGTACAACCAGCTAACCCAGATTTGCTACCATCCCTCTCTCAAGCAATGCAACCCTTTCTAACAACCAATTTTGGGAGCCTTTTTTGAACATCTGAAAATGCAAGAGGTTTTCTGTCAACGTTCTGTCAATTTTACAAGGGGTCTGAATTTAACTCGTTTTCACTGTCTGCTCCTTCCTTTTCTATTTGTTTGTTTATTTATTAAATTTTTATGCTGTCCATATCCCCTACGAGGTGACTCTAGGCAGCTCACAAATTATAATACCGTCCCCAAAATTGGCTCTACATTTTCTTAACATAGTGTGAGGCTAGGATAGTGGAGGTTGTGTATTGAAGCAATTCCTTGCAATTACTTTCTTTGTGGATCGGAAAGATCTTTCCTACCTCTATTTACTCATTTAGATTCATGTAGCTGCCCATGTTCCATATAGGCTCAGGGGTACTAACATTAGATCTAGCAACTTTTGGGTGCAATTGGCAAAGGAAGGGTTCTAGCAATAGATATTTTTGAGATAGGATTTGAAAATAAACCTACTAATAAGTACTTCATAACAGCCACAATCTTTCTGTAGCGTATCTAATACTCACCTTCTCCAAGGTGAGCGTGGATCTGCCAAAAAAATCAACTCTTCTTGCAGTACAAATCTAATAAATTGCTTTTATTTGTGTAAATTGTGTAAATAGGGTTGGTCGCCCAGTCAGCCAGATGTTTAGATTGGGTTTGGCATATTCATCTACCTATTGAATACTTCATCCTGACCTGGGATAGGCAGATATTGTTGTTTGAGGGCGTAAAAGGTACCGTTGCGGGATGCAAGCAGTGGTGAGTCAAGCTGCCTTTTGCAATTGACTGATGGTGAATTTGTCAATGCCGATGGTGTTCAAGTGTTGCTCCAGATGCTTTGGGATTGCTGTATTGCTATTATCCTCCTCATCTTTCCCATTCTCCTATTGAGACCTTGTGATTTATCACTTGTTGTTTGTATCTTATGATTTATGATTTATCATTGTTGTTTGATAGCTTAGAGCTGAGAGTTTATGCACTGGAGACAAATTCCTTGTGTATCCAATCACACTTGGCCAATAAAGAATTCTCTTCTCTTCTCTTCTCTTCTCTTCTCTTCTCTTCTCTTCTCTTCTCTTCTCTTCTCTTCTCTCTCCTCTCCTCTCCTCTCCTCTCCTCTCCTCTCCTCTCCTCTACTATTACTATTACTATTACTATTACTATTACTATTACTATTACTATTGGTACTATCTTTGCTTTCTTCTGCCATAGTCATTCTACTTCTATTTGCAGGTCTTTGTATTTTGGGGGTTACTACTACTATTTTTTATTAACCTGTTGCCTTAATCACTACAGTAAAGTGGTACTCACAGCCAGACCCCATTATCACACTCTCACTTTATCTACTAACCCAAGACACTTACTATTGCTTCACACATCCAGCAGGGAGCACCCTAATCCTGTGCAATGCTCCTATAGTATCCGTAGGTGGCTGAAATTGCCCATCGGAGCTACTACGTGACTTGGGACACATCCAGCACCCTTGGGCGTTAACGGTATATAAAGGCAGAAGTGCGTATCACTGAAATTTTCTGCTGATCTACTTAACCAGGTTGTTGTGATGAGGGAGGAAAGAGGGCTCTTTAATGTAGTCAAGGGAGGGATGATAAATTGGAAGGGAGAGGGGAACGTGGTACCCAAAGGATGCTTCCCGAAGATAACTTTGGAACTTTTTCTTTTTTCCTTCTATCAGAGTTGCACCTGCTTACACAATGTCATTCTTCCGGTATTTTAACAAGCATAGAGAGGTAAGTTTTGGGTCTTTGGTATTAGACAAATCAAAGTTAGGGTATCAAATTGTCCTACCTGCGTACAGCAAAGGTAAGAAGCATCCTTGGATGGGAAGTTGCTATCGCTGTCAACCCTCCAGGGACAAGGAAGTATTGGGGAAAGACGTTTGGGAAGAAATGTCCTTCACAAGTCCTGTTTTCTCCCGAAATAGAATGACGGTTTGATGCATCCCCTTTGGTAAGGGAGGGCTTTGTATCTTTCAGCTGATTCCTCTGGCTATGATTATGACTACTACGCTGAGTGGGATGGTGTACACGGGCATCAGAGCCCTGAGAAGATCAGATATAATGTAAGCAGCACCTGTTTCTTTATCCTCACCCTAAAGAATGTTCTTCGCTTTACGTCAGATCAGGTTCTTTCCTTTGTTGTTGTTTTAATTTAAGACAATTAGAGTATGAAGGACAACAGGCAAAGGAATAGCATGTTCCCCCCCCCTCCCCCGGATTACAAGTTAACAGTAGTAGAGTTGGATGGGACCTTGGAGGTTATCTAGTCCAACCCTCTGCTCACGCAGGAGACTTGTACTAGAGATTCGAACCGCCGAACTGCCGACCTTTCTGATCGACAAGCTCCGTGTCTTAGCCACTGAGCCACCTAGTCAGACTAACACAAGAACAAAATTGTGCAACAAGGAATAAAATCAGATAGGGCTGGGAATAAGAACTGTTTCTCCCTCTTTGTTTTTTTGTTTTATTTCTCAAGGAGGAAGTGGCATTTTGACAGGAGTCTTTTTTCAGGCAAAGTTCAAAAAGCCTCTAATGCAGACATCGAAAGAATTCCTTCTAATTTAAAACACGTTTTCTATTTCAATTGGGGTGTGTTTGTGTGGGTATGTTTATTTATTTTTTTTAATGGAGCATTAGGAATAAAGCTCGGTGAGAACCGAGTTTAGGTTTTAAAACCCACAAGGTTTGAAAATGCTTTCTCTGTACTTGGATGCTGAACTTTTTCATTATGCAACTAAGGAAGAAGCAGATTACTATAGAAATTTTCTTTATGTATTAAAGAAAATTGTTTATCTGTATCTTAGCAGTATTTAAGCAGATTGTCCATATTACTCTCTAAAGGAATTGTTTTCTGAATTAGCATTTAATCCAGAGTTTTAAATTATTCAGCCAAAGTAAGGTCAGTGGAAGTCTGTGATGCTAACTTCAGAATAAATCGAGTGGTGCTATTGAGTCTTTTTTTTAAATAGCTGAAATACGGTTTTATTAAGCTGCCGTTTAGCCAAAGGTTACTTTTATCTCATCCATAATAAATGCTGCCTTTTGCTTTTAGTATTGATAGGTGGAACAATCCTGAACCTTGGGAAAAAGTAGATCCCACTGAACCTCAAAAGGTAATGAACTTGATAGGTTAACAAGTCCTGGATTGTATTATTAAGAATCTAGAGAAACCTACAAATACATAATAGCTAACTAAATTAATGGTAGTGCTATTCATATTTAATGCTAAATATACTGGCTAATAGATAAATAGAATTGTAGGTTGTCATTAAGTTGTGATAGGCTTTATTAAAATATTCCGATTGAATTCAATACAAAAAGCTTATTGCAAGACTGAACTTCGTTTATCCCCATCCAAAGGAAACAGGTATACATCCATTAATGGTGTCAAAGCTCACAGAATAAAAGTCATAGAAGACAGATAGAATTTAATACAGAATTGTATTAAATTTCAACGATTGAAAGTTGGAGCAAAAATTACAGCCAAAATTGTTGCTGTTGGGGGAGGAAGGGCAGTGCGGAATTTAAAATAGTGGCACTAAAAAACCAACAATAATATAAAAAAATAAAAGAAAAGGGGAGTTCCAATTCTCTTCAACATGAATAGAATTAAAATACGTAAAACAGTCTTGCTTTAGTTTAACAAAAAAATTCAACAAAATTAAAATATAAAAGATATATACTGTACCTCAAACAATCAAAAAAATAATAACAATATATACTACCATAGTCTAAATAAAACAAATAACCAGTAAATGAATTCTAATTCCACAAATCCACATCACAACTAATACATCAAAACATACAAGGACCTAAAACAAAGTGTATATTTATTAAACTCCAACAATACGCCATATTTCCAGGGGTGAAATCCAGCAGGTTCTGACAGGTTCTGGAGAACCGGTAGCGGAAATTTTGAGTAGTTCGGACAACCGGCAAATACCACCTCTGGCTGGCCCCAGAGTGGGGTGGGAATGGAGATTTTGCAATATCCTTCTCCCAGGAGTGGGGAGAGAATGGGGATTTTGCAATATCCTTCTCCTTCCCCTGCCATGCCCACCAAGCCACGCCCAGAGAACCGATAGTAAAAAAAATTGAATTTCACCACTGCATATTTCTACAGTGAAAACATCCCCAATCATCAAATTCTTAGGCCAACAAGCTTAGGCCATCAAGGCTCAAAGCTTCATTTTTATCTTTATCGAACAGAAAGCCCCAAATTGGTGCCCATGTCAAATGAAAAGCAGTCAAAGTGTTATCTCGAATCAAAGTAGTCCATTTTGCCATCTCGGCAAGGAATAAAAAAAAATCTTATTTTACATAGCCTCTTCTATAATGCGAAACGTTAATATGAGTGATATTTGGGGGGAAGCGGGGAGAGGATGAATCCCTAATACCAGCAAGCTTGTTAATCTTTTGTCTTTTTTAATCTTTTGTCTTATACGGCAGCTGTTTTCCATCCATCAGAAATGGGAACCCATCCAAGAACTGGAGGAGATCCGAAAAGTTTTCAAGGGGTGAGGTCCCCAGCCCTTCCAAACGGCACTCTCTGAATCTAGTGGAATCATTTCTGCACAAACTAGAGGATCGAAACCAGTGTGCGGAAATGCTTCTGCTACATTTTTTGAGTCTCTCTCCATTATGTTTTGGATTCTGGAGGAGATTTACTGACTGCCCGGCCTAGAACTCTATTGCGGGAAAAAGAAAAAAAAAACGTGTTACAAAGGCTGGCTTGTTGTAATTTGTTTTGAACCCTGCCCTGTGTCTTCTAGGAAGGCAGACCAACATTTCTTCATTTGTGAGCTTTAAAAAAAGAGTTGGGTTGTTGTTGGGGAAAAAAAGATACGTTGTCGTTTATGTTTTCAATAAAGTTGGAATTTATCAAGTCATTTATCAGGTCTCAGACTGATTGCGATTCTCACTTATTTGGGAGCATTAAAAAGAATATTGTTGCATCGTCTTCAAGGAAGGATCTAGGTTGCCGACTCCGCGTTGTCTCACTCTGTTCATCCAACATCCTAAACTGGTTTGCTAATTTATCAATAAGCCACAATATCTTTAGACACCTCTGACACCCTGCACTTACTTGCATCCAAAACAGGCCGTGTGGGGACTGCTGGGAGGGAGGGGCAGGGTCGGGTGGGCAGGGCCAGCCAGAGGTTCTCCAAACTGCACAGAATCTTAGCTAGAGGTTCTCCCGAACCCCTGCAAAGAACCCTCAGCAGCCCACCCCTGCTTTTAGGACCTATATAGGAGCAAGAACCCATGGGGTGGAGGTGAGGGCGGGGGAATATGGATGCTGTTGCATTTAATACATAGATCAAGTTTTGTTTCCCTCCTGAAGAGTTTTACAGCCATTCCTGCTTTGGGATCTGCAACTATAATACAACTGGTATTTTCATGTGTTGTACAAAAGGTATCTTCTTGCTGTTTAGGTTCAAAAAGGTAGCAAGAAACCAAGATTTCATTTCCTTCTTTGGGTGGTGAAAGGAGTGATGTGTCTGTCACATAGCTGACTCATATGCGTACGTGCTGCAGAGGAACAGGAGGAAGTAGCCATAAGAATATGTTTTACAATGAGTAAACCCCACGCTCTACGGTGTTTCTATTTCCTTGAAATTTGGTTGCTTGGACACCACGATGGACAACCTACAATTCGCAACATTACACTAGTTTTCATATTTTTGACTGTGTCTCTGGGCAGCTATGTGGGTTGGGCCCAAAGGTTGACGATAGCAGCAATCAAGTCTTAAAGGGCTTCTAGTTAACTGTCCACTCCTAGACAAGTCCTAGATTTGTAGACAAGAAGAAGGGCCTCACGAGAGCATCTTACTCAAAACCTCAATACCATCAAAACCTGGATCGAGGGAGGTTCTTGAAGATGCTCACTTTTGGCAGGTGTGACAGGACAGTCTTCACACTTATAAATGTTTGTAAGCATGAAGGAGGGGGGGAAAATGACCAAGCAGGTGTTGTGAGTTGTGACCAATGCAAAACCTGCCTTGTGTGACATCACGATGCAAGTAGGAAAGGGTGGAATTTGTGTTATGACATCACGGCGCGTATTTTGGCATTACTGCAATAAGGAACACATTGCCTGTGTCCATGCAACACAATCATGATAGTTTATGGTTCTGTGAATTTTGCATGCCCTGAAAATGGTTCGCTTTAGAACCCTAGTTACACAAATTCATCCTTTGTGAAAGGATGAATTGAGTTGCCTATACAAATCTGCTCTTTAACACAGACATCTCTCTTTGCACAGTTTTTGTTAGTGATCAACATGTAGCCTTTCACTGCTCTATAAGTGCACAGCTCCAAGCCCAGGACTCCAAGTGGACATCAAGAACTTTCAATGCAACTCCAAAGATCTCCAACATTGCTATTAAATTCATACTTTTGAGTCAAAAGGGGGAAATAATCAGCCACTTCATTGACAAAGAATCATGAAATTATACGTAATTTTAATGTTGTTTCAATGAAGGTCAAATCAAACTTTGGTTCATCTGTATCATTCACTACTTTTTGGAGGATACCACTGGCACACCATTGAAAGGTTAAACCCTGCTCACACAGCTTTTCCCAGATCTTTGAGAAGCAAAAGGTTGTAAATCTTATTTCTTGTCGGAGAAGGACAACTCCATCCTATGCTGAATTCTTAGCAAAGGGATCAGCTATTTTTTGCCTTGACATTGTCTCCATTTCTCCATAGTGGATTTGACTGTGCAATCTGCACGACTAAAGTAGGTTCATTGCAGCCACAATAACCTGTGCCCAGATTTTTAAGTGTTGCATTCCCCAAATAGTTAAGAGTGAGCCATTTTTAGACATGTCAAGGATTTCTTTTCTTGCAAACATCTAAGAGCTTCTGATGCATCTTCTTTTGAGGGTCTTTAACGCAAGCCATAAATGCCTTTGTACTTTTCCATCAGAAGCACTTTAAAAAGAAAATCATCATGGCTGCCCAACCCCATTAACTATGGGATAGACTATGGATCAGAGAGGCCCTAATAATAGACTTGGCTTCCTACCACTGAAACAATATGCTGTGATTAATTTTGAGGCAATAATGTCCACCAGTTGACTAGCTATTTTAAGTTGAGGGTGGTGGAGAAGCTTCAAGGAAGGACACTGATGTCCTTTGTATCATCCACTCCAATTCTCTTTTCCATTATGGCTTCAACTTTCTCCATTTTATTTCTTTGAGAGCACAGGTCAGTGGGAAGAAATATGTAAGAAGTCTCCAGATTTTTGCCCTCTCAAGTTAAAATGATCTGGGAGTAACCAACAAAGAAGATCTGCCTTGTTCTTTGTCATCCCTCTTCTAGAACTTTCTGGAATTCATGTCCAGCTGAGACATCTGATGTGATAAATCCAAGTATTAGACAGGCACAGGCCACGAGAAGGTCTATATTATTAGATCAGCTCTTTCTTTCCTGCTGATGACCATGCTCATTTCAAGCCAAATAAACCTGCCCTTTTGGGCACGCAAACCTTACTGTGTCATTCCCACATATACCATTACACAGACAATAAGAAATAAGTCATTGAACTTCTAAATGAACTACTGCAAAAATCCGTCTACAGAAATCCAAACCTATGTAAACATCTCTCTTCCAGGCATTAAACGCTAGACCTTTTCCTCCTGGCCTTTTGAGAGATCTGGCCAGCATCTTGTCATGTCCTTGTAAGGTGTCTGCTCAGTCTTGACATAACAGTTCTGTCTGATCTGGGAGCCATTCCTACATGACGGGATCTCTTCAGTTCCCATTCGTTGCTCCAGGTCAAGCTGGAGAGTGCTAACAACAGTGATAAAAATAATTCATTGATTCTGGCAGGGATCAGCTCTTGGAGGAAGCCCAGTAAAGCTTTCACATTAAATGAACATCACTTCCCTCTTGCCTTGCTGCTATCAGTTTGATTTAAATATCCCAGGGGAGGCTTCCCCTGCAGCTTTTGTCATCCGCATCAGGCATAGAAGTCGCCAGCAAAATACAGCACAATCTTTCTACACACTTTACACAAAGGGAACGAACTCTGAACTGCGTAGAGAACTTCATAGTCTATTGAAGGTTTAGAAATTCACGAGAGGTCTCTCATCTTCAGGATCATTGATTTCGTATTGAGCCTAAGAGGCTGAGGATTTTGCAAACCAAAAAGCTGGTCTGATTTAGCACCATGTTGTGTAAGATAAAGCCACTTACCAATCCTGAGTCCCATGGGAATAAGGGGGTGGGAAGGTGTAGAGAGTAAGGAAGGTGACCTTGATGGAGATACACAAGAACTGTTATCTGAGCAAAAGAGGTTGCAACATATTTTAAGTCCGGGACAACAAGATAATATTTGGAAGATGCCTACTAGAGTTTAAGATAAGAAAGGAGGTATCTATATCTATCTATCTGCCTGTCTGCCTGCCTGTCTGCCTATCTATCATTTTTATCTATCCATCCCTCTATCATCCATCCATCCATCCATCCATCCATCCGTCTGTCTATCTATCATATATCTCTTTCTCTCTCTCCTTCCTTCTCTCCCTCTCCCTCTCTCTCTCTCTCCCTCTCTCTCTCTCTCTCTCTCTTTCTCTCTTGTATCCTGCTTATCTCACCCAAGGCAACTCTAAGCGGCTTACAAACAGGTGTAGCACAATCAGACTTTCACGATTCTGTTCTTACAGCCAATCTCAACAAAAGTAGTTTTAGACTTTCTGTGGACCGGTCTAGTCTACCAAGTGAAGCTGACAGGAAGTGACTACGGAGGTGTACTACCAAACTGCCACTTAATTTCAGCAGTATAAGAAATTCCGGGGAGACTTAAGAGTAGTTATGAAAGTATTGGCCCCACATTCTCATCTGTAAATCTCTCCCCCCCCACCCCCAAAACAACAACAACTGGGCAAATTCAGACATACTTTTGCTATGATGTTACCACATCCATATCTCTGAATACCTTCCTGCAGCCCTCTGGTGAGATAGACAGTCACCAAACTTTCACCCTTGGAAAGTTCAACTCTAACCAAAATTGGTTGCACTCCATTTTCCTACAAAAGCATAGCTCTGATGGTGTTTTTTTTTTTTTTTCAAAAAGGACACCCTGTTTATGAAATGTTATTCCCTCTAGAGATAAGGAATGCTAGCTCCTTTCTGCAATTCAGAAGATAAGCAAAGGCTCCTGCTTGCTATTTTTTCCCCACCGACTTTGAGGAGTTGGTTTGATAAGGTTCCTTCAAGTCAAGCATCGCTACGGGTGACCTCATGGGTCTACACATACGTCATATCTGGATCAGCACCATGGAAGTGGTTTGCCCTTAACTTTCTTCACAAGGTTTTTTTCTTGGTTGGCCAGAGTCTAGACAATTGTCTGACACATTCTGAAAATCTCTTCTTCAAGCCTTTACCAGGCCTGCTTTGCTTCTGACTCTACAAAAGATCAACCAGGTGCTGCCCACATGCTAAGAACTTGGTAGCTTTTTGACTTTTTAAATTGTTGGTTTGACATCTTCTCAAGGAGTCCAAGATGGCAAATACAGGGCTGGACTGCTGGGGGTTCGCAGGGGTTCGGGAGAACCTCTAGCTAAGATTCTGTGCAGTTCAGAGAACCCCCAAATCCCACTCCTGGGTGGCCCCACCCATCACCCCTCCCCTTCCAGGAGTCCCCACGCGGCCCGTTTTGGATGCAGGTAAGTGCAGGGCACATGCAAAGGCTTAGGGAGGGCGAAAAATGGGCCTACTGGAAGTTTGAGAAGGCCAGAAATGGGCCCGTTTCTAGCCTCCAGAGCCTGGGGAGGCTGTTTTCACCCTCCCGGAGGCTCAAGAAAGGACTCTGGAGCCTGGGGAGGTCAAAAACACCTCCCCCTGCCGTGGTGCAGGAGGCCAACTAGGCCACACCCACC